GGGGAGTCACGGATGTTCTAAACAATCCATGACCGCAGAGTAGAAGAGAAATAATTAGTGAAGCTCATTCCAATGGTGGAGGTTTTAGGAATGTGAATTTTTGTGTTGTTTTTAATCTTATCACATGTGGTCTGCAACTATACAGCTGGGTCTCTTTGAGCCCAAGTTGTTTTCACTCTCCTGCTGAAGATATAGACCTGACTCTGCTCTGAGATCTCCGATGACCCAGACAGTAAGGGAAACTGAGGAACAGCCACAGCCAGAGGCTGGGACAGAGCTGAAGAAACCATGGAAGCTAGCTCAAGGATCACTTCTTGGATATTTTTTTTTCTCCTGCCTTTTATGCTCCCTTAGGATTTCTAACACAGAGATATGGTTGTAAATTGTATTGTTTCCTTTAAACTTTCTTGAGTTGATACACTATAACCTGAGAAGATTGAAGAAAAATAGAACTTGAAAAAATATTTGTTCTTTGACAGTTTCATACACAATATAATATATGATGTATTCTGATCACATTCATCCCCCCATTACTCTCAATAATGTCCATCCTACTCCCACTAGGGAGTACTTCTTATGTCTACGTTGGTTTGTTGGTTGACTCTATAGTTGCCTGTACAAACATGGAGTTAGAGTTATTACTGGAGCATTCTGGTCATGAAACATGACACATGCTTCCCCAGAAGCCATGGTCTGATACTATCTCCTCAGAGCTAGGCCTTCATGACCCTACTGCCAACCATACTGCAAGGTTGACAGGTTTGATCATGTACAGATAACCATAGCTGCTGCAAGTTTATGAGCTTGACAGCCATGTGACGTCCAGTAGAGAGCACTTCATGGCACTCCTCATCCCTCAGCTGCTACATCCTTGCTATCCCCTCTCCCATTATGTCCCCTGAGTGTTGGAATAGGTGATATAGGTATCATGTTTATAGCTGAGTATTCGAAACAGTCACTTGTTCTTAACACTCTCATAGCTGTGAGCCTTGACAGAGGTGCTGGGAACTGAACCCAGGTCCTGTGCAAGGATAACACATGGTTTTATCTCCAGAGCCTCCATTTGTACAATTTTAAATGTGTTAGGGTTTCAAATAACATTGGCTTTCAATGTTTTAAAAATTGACACATAAAGCCGTGAATGTCATTGTCATACACACACATGTGCACACACATACTGAAGGTTTGGAGATCTAGACATTACATTATATGTAAATAAAAATGTGGCATTTGTCTTGGTGGGTCTGGCTTATATCACTTAACCTGATGATCTACTGTTCTATACATTTTCCCGCAATTATCATGATTGTGTCCTTTATAGATGAATAAAACTCCACTGTGCATATCTCTTATATATACTAGTTCACCTGGGCAACTGAGCTAGTTTCATGTCTTGGCTATTGTGACCAAGTCAGTATCTCTGTGTTATGCTGACTTAGAATCCTTTGAATAAATCCCTAAGAGTATCTGCTCTGGTTCATATAGTAGCTCTAGTTTTCATTTTGAGGAATAAGCATAGTGATTTCCATAGGGGCCCTACCAGTTTACAGTCCCACAGGCAATGAATAATAACTGTTGCTCTTTCTCTACATCACTGCCGGCAATTAGGGTTTGTTTTCTGAATGTTAGCCATTTTGACTGGAATGAGGTAGAATCTTGATGGAGTTGTGATTTGCATTTCCCCGGATGACTAAAGATCTTGGCCACTTCTCCAAGTATTTAATGGCTTTTTTGCATTTCTTTCTTTGAGGACTGTCAGTTCAGCAGTCTGATCACATTATTTGGGTGCTTAATTTTTGCAGGTTGTCTTGCTTACCACTTTTGTTGCTGTGACCAAGTCCCTGAGAAACACCAGTTCAGGGAGGACGTATGATTTGAGGGGATACAGTCCATCATGGGGGCAGAAACATGAGGCACACTGGGTCTGCGGTCAGGGAGCAGTGGACAGGGTGCAGCTCGGCTATACAATCTCAAGGGCTACTGTCTGTGACCTACTTCCTTCAGTGAGACTCAGCTTCTTAAAACTTCCACAACTCTCCAAATCAGCACCACCAGCTAGAAACCACGGACTCAGACATGACCCTATAGGGGATACTGTGCATTCAAAGCACAACGAAAGTCCTTATAGACGGCAGCTATTAATATCTTGTCTGATGCGTAGTTGGCAACGATAGTTTCCTATTCCGTAGGATTTTTCCCCCATTTTGATGCTTGTTTCCTTTGCTGTTCAGAGCATCTTTAATTTTATGTTTATTTGTCAGTTCTTAGGATTATGACTGCTCTGTTAGAGTATCTTTGCAGAAAGTCTGTGGCTATGCCTATGTCTTGAGATATCTTGTCTGAGATTTCCTCTAACAGTTTCAGAGTTCCAAGTCTTACACTGAAGCTTTTGACCCATTTTGAAAATGTGTGTGTGTGTGTGTGTGTGTGTGTGTGTGTGTGTGTGTGTGTAAGATATGGACCCAGTTTCATTAGTCTCATTGTTGTGCCAGCACCATGTGCTGAACGAGTTGTCTTTTTTCTAATCTCTGTGCCCGATATCTTTGTCAAAGGTTCAGTGGCTGTAGCTATATGGGTTTATTTCTGGATCCTCTATTCTATCCCACAGATCCAAACTCTGTTTTCTATCTGTACCTTGCTGTTTCTGTTACAAAGACTCTGTGGTGTAATTTGAGGTCAGGCACTACCGTGACCCCGAGGGTGTTCTTTCTGCTTAGGATTGTGTTTGCTATTCTGGGTCTTTTGTGCTTCCTTGTGAACTCCTGCGTTCTTTTTTCTGCTTCTGTGAAGGATGACATTGGAATTCAATGGAGGCACATGGTAGATTGCTTTTCTTGATGTACTTATTTCACAGTACTAATTCTGCCAATCCATGAGTGTGGGAGGTCTTTTTATCTTCTTGTATGGTTTTTAGTTTCTTTTAATAGTGTCTTTATGTTTTCATTACAGAGGTTTGCTATCTTCTTTGCTAGGGTTATTCCTGGAAATTTTTCAAATGTATTGTGAACAGAATTTTGTTCCTGGGTTCTTTGTAAGAAAGCTTGTTATTGGTACATAGAAAAGCTACTGATTTCATGATGTCAATGATGTATCCTCCTACTTTGATGAACATGTTTATCACATTGCAGAATTTTTCTATTTATTTTTAAGGATCCTTGAAGTAGAGGATCGTGTCCTGTGTCCTTCCACTAATGAACAGGTAAACAGAAGATACATGTATGAGATTGAACGCTACTCAGTATACAACAGAACGAAGCACTGATTATGCTACAGTCCAGACAACATGGAGAACAGGATGCTGAGTGAAAGAGGCCAGCCTCAAACAGCATGTAATAGATCTCATTCCATTAGCGTGAGATGTGCAGAGCAAACAGGTTATTGATTTTCTAGGGTTAAGAGAATGAAAAGATTGGAGCCAATAGCTAAAGGGGGAAGGATTTCTTTTTGAAATGATGCAAATGTTCTAAAAATAATTATGATGACTATACACCGCGATTATACTAAAATATTGACTTCTATAAAAGAAGCAATGTGTGTAAATTCTAATCCTGTAGAGATTGTGCCAAAAAATTATTATGTGTTATTGAGAATTCAAGCTTGCTCCTGGACCTATACATCCTTCATAGGGGAAGGGACTTCTGGCAAAAGAAACAGGGAAAAGAAAGGAAAGAGACGTACAACACAGAGTGGGAGAGGACTTCTGAACAGCCATAGACTGGGATCTACAGAGAAACACAAGAGCTCCCGGAACATGAGACTCTTCCTCAAAGCTTTGCAGCTGCTCTTGCATCTTTACCCAACCTGTCGCCTGGATGCTTTCAGCAGTGAATATTTGAAACTAAAGTCAGATATAGGACAGTGGAGCCTGACAGCAGGTGCTGGGCACCAGTGCTCTGAAATGAGCCCCAATTCTATCATTCTCTAGGTCAGAAAATGTCTCCTGTGCTTCAGTTTCTCCATCAACAAATTAACTGCACAGTATAGTAGCCATTAACCCTGTAAGTCTACCAAACACTTGAAATGTTAGTCTGAGAAGCAGGGAACAACTTGTCACGAGCCACCCTGCAACCAAGGACAAGAGATGGCCGTCACAATTCACGGAAGAGAAGCCAGGCTAAATCCTCCAAGCATGTTGGCAGGTGTTGGCTTAACAGAGCCTAGAAATCCACCTTAAGAGTATCCCACAGCTTCCAATCTCTTCAAAACACAAAGGCTGTCTCACATGCACAGCAGTAAAGTATCCAGAACAGAAGAGAGGCCTCCAAGTGGATTCTGACTCAAATACCCCATTTCCCACCCTGGCATACAGTCTAGTTCTCTTAAATTTTTATCTTGTTTATCTAAAAAGGAATTGTTGCTTGCCTTGGGTTTATGGATCCTTGTCTCTTTGGAGCATGTTTGGAGCATGCTAGATACTACCCAGTCTCCAGTGACTGGATTCAGCTAGGCTATTGGAACACTCATGCTCCACGTACCAGAGTCATCCTGTCTAGAGAAGTGGTTTCTCTAAATTCCACAGAGGCAGCTGTGTCTTATTCCACAGGCATAGAACTGAGTTCCTCAGCCCATGGCCCCTCAGCCTGTGCCCCATAAATCAACCTGCCCAACCCCCAGCTTCAGGAGAGTGTCTCCCCCAAAGCCAACCCAATGCCTTCCACCTTCCCTCCCACCTTCAGTTTTGGACTTGTTTTTCCATTATTCAGTAAGACAAGCATGCCGATCTACGTGAGTAGCACAAGCATGCTTATCTATGTCGGTAACACAAGTGTGCAATCTATGCTGGTAATACAAGTGTGTCAGTCTTTGTTTGAAAACTTGAGTTGTGTATTGTTTGTAAGCTGCCAGATCCTGAAGGATTGGTCCATCTCCCTCAGAGAGATGACTAGCCACCTAGAGTCTGTGTGCTTGGCTTGTTGCAGGGTTTAGTGCAGTGAATCCCTGGGCTCACAAATAGCTAGATCCGAGGACCGTGGATTCAAAGTAATACAAAACAAAAGAAGCACAGTAAATTACATGTGTTTATTTTTTATCATCACAATTTACTTTCTACTCCAGCTAAACTTCCATTTCATGTGTTTCCAGTTCTGTTTCAAACTTCCATTTGTCTAGTGACATTTGGGGGTGAGGGGGGTATTACAATAAAGACATTTGTTTTATTAATAAATATGTTTAAATGTTTGGTATGGCCTTTTAATTCATACAAATAGATATGGTCTTTATTTGATTTCATAGTTTTGAAATACAAATCCATCATCTTCTTGTAGCAACAATTATTCCAATTGTTACTGGATGTTGAATAAATTGCAGTCAACTAGATGGAGTTCCTACCATCCGACAATCAAGGTATAGAAAAAGTGGTAGCTACAAGATGTCCCCTACAAAGAACTATGTACCACATTACAGTATCAAAAAGACACATCCAGAGAAAAATCTAATGGGTGTTCTGAGATTCAATTATTTTTACTCCTGTATGATAATTCCATTTTTTTTTTTAAAAGGGTGAGTGACTTCCAAATGGTCTCACTGTGGAGCCAGCAGAGACACGTCACAGAATGCTTTAATTTGGTGGCTTACCTTCATGCTTATAAAACTATCAGAAAACATAAATATTAATTCTTGAGGTTGACTAGCAAAATTCTTTTAATTCGTATCTCTATCCTTTCTCAGAACCTTCCCATATACACTAGAAGGAAAAAAAGAGAAGAAAGAGAAGAAAGACAACAATAACAAAAGCAAAATGGTTTGCTTGGGTTTCATCCACCTGGCCTCTCTTATGTAATGTGCTTCATAGAAAGCAAGCTGAAGTTTCTGTCAAGGCTTCACTCTCGCTGAAAAGTTGTTGAATCAAGTTCACATCTGCCTAAGTTTTATGGTGTGGGATTTTGCTGTTTGTTTGTTTTCTTTTGTCTTTGTTTTTATACAAATACTAGTCTCTCAGCACAAAACTAGACTCACTGTACTGGTTAGGACTTTGGCAAAGTACAAGAAGTAGGCATGTTACTAAGTGTCGTATGGTGACTCAGAGGGACACTGTGGGTCATCTCCTGAGTAGGCTCAACTTTAATCAGCTGAAGTTCTCCACTGCTCTTTACAAACATCTTAAATACGGGTAAAATATGTAAACACTGTGCTCTCGGAGAGCAAGGATTGGGCATATCAAAGCATATCATTCTCGAGGAAATGAACCCACGGGACTCAAAACCATCCACCGGAGTTATCACTCTCTGGCTGAGGCGGGAATACCACGTTGCACATCTCAGAGTTCTCTTGATGGAGCGGGAGTTCACATCCAGGCACTAGTCTCTCTTTTCTTCTTCGAGAGACATAGCCCCTACCTGTGGATAGCCTTTCATATTTTGTCTCAAATTGCCTGTATAGCAAGAAGAGGAAGGACAGAGTTACACACAGTTAAGTCACCCACGCTGGTTCCTGTGCTTGAGGCTCTGTTGGGAGGGGAGTTGTAGGTACTATTCTTTAAAGCATTCTCATTGTTGTCTTCTGATACCAATAAGTACATTGTGACTACCACGCTTTGTTCTGGAAAGAAGGACTGAAATCCTTAGATGTTGTTAAAGCTTAACAGGCCTTGCTGCCTCCTGCCTCCAGGGAACTCCCTTTCACAGCACTGAGTTCAACAGGGTTGAATATTGAGAGGGAAATACACCCAGCGAATGGTCAGAACAAAATGGCGAAGCAGTCTAGGTAGCCATGTGGCCGGGTTTGCAGTCACTGCACGTATTTATGGGCAATTATTCCAGACAAAAACATAAGTTATTGTCAGTGAACACCAAAAGTTCTGAACATAAGCCACCATTATTTGTTGCAGGAAAATGTTAAAAACCCTGGTGTTTGGAATTAAACCATTGATGTATTTTTAAAATATGGGTCATGAAATCCTAGTAGAATAAGGTATCCAACTTTGGCCTGGTTATCACAAAAAGTGATGTAAATTGTGACTTGCCAGTTCAAGTGTACAAATTACGCTTACGGTTAGATACTGTTCACGAAAACCTTCGTAACTACTATGGAGGGTTGGGTGTTACCTAGACTCAGATCATGCTTGCTCTACAGGATAGCTCTGTGCAAAGAACTGCAGCTAGACCCAAGGACATGGTGTTGATGAGAGTTCGGCCCAGAGTGGAAGAGGAGCTGTGTAGATACATAGACAACTGCATACTGGGTTCTTAAGGATCTCAGCTTTCTCATACTTTTTAAAAAAGAGTTCAGAATGCCAAATTCTCAAGACTGAGTCCAAATTTAAACAAGGTCAAACTGCATGTTGTACAAATAACTGTGGATTCCCTTGGAAATGGGTGACCAGATGTATTCTGTCCAGGAAGCAATTGCAAAGATACCAGACAGCAAAGGCAAATGTGGTATTTTTTTTTTTGAAACTAGGTGGTCACTCCTACAGTAAACTGAATCCCTTTTTTCCTTAAAGGTTATTTCTAGATTAAATATGACTTAATTCCATATCAAACAAATGGACCCTTGGTGTCTTAAAAACCTAGTTTTCTTTATTTTGATCTATCATTCTCTTCTTTAAGGATAACTTGCTGTTTACTTGGTTTCCACTGTCTCCTTTTAAGTCTCACACTGAATGCTGGAGATTGAACACAAGCTCCTGTGAGGCAGGAGAGGCTCTGGAACTTGGGGGCACTCATCTTACCTGAGTGGGGCTTCAGCCCTGTCCATCTGCATGCAGACCAAGAACGGGTACTGTGAGAACTGCACTGTGGAGATGAACTCCAGGCCAGCCTCTGTCTCTGCTCTGCTCTCCAGGCCAGCTTTCACAAAAGAGGAGTCCACTGTGACGTCACTGGTTATTACCACAGCCACCCTGCAATTTTAACAGACATCTCTTATTGTCGAGTTGAACTCAGCAGGAGGACCAACCGAACTTCAGCAAACCTCCATTCATGGTACCATGAGGAAATATTTAAGAATGGAGATGCGACCTCAGTGCACATAAAGCCTTGTTGAAACCAGGGCACAGTGGTGCCAGAGATTAGCCATAGAAGAGTTGTTCTTTCCCTGGACTTCCCTTGCCTTGAATTCTTGACATGGGAGCTAAGTGTATATCACATATAAGCTGTTTGGACTGTGTGCCCCCAAAAGCAAGGTGAATCATGCCTGGAACCTAGTCCTTTCTCAGTCCTAGCAGCATCCACATTTTCTTAGAAAGAAGTATGAACACATCGAGAAGACACCTGGCATTTATGATAATTTTGTGGTTAGCTACTAGCTTCCTTAGCTATTTCAGTTCCATTCATTACTTTCCCCAAGGTTTGCTAGAGGCACGTATATGGTTGCCAAGATACATGAAAGTATGCTGCGTGACAGAGAGCCACTCCTGAAGTGGGATATGGATACACAGACAGGATGGGTTTATCAGTGGTCACTTAGAGAATCAGACAGACAGGCTGGATGACTAAGGAATATGGCTTGGTTGACAATGAAGAAGTTAAAACAAAAATGTAGCACAAGTTTGGCTTTCGTTAAGCACCTGTAAACTTCAGCTAAATAGTGGGAAATTATGTTCCTGGTGAAATCAGATTTACATGTCTATGTCTTTTTTTATTTTAAAAAGAGGAATGCTAATTTTTGTCTGGAAGATTAAAAAAGGAGTTTGCTTCTGTTCTCAGTATCAAACAGGCCATGGGTCGTTTGAGATGTGTACAGGTGGCCTTTAGTCCTTTACCAGATCTTCCACTGTCTCATCCACAAGCAAATATTTAAGGGGTGTCATTTATGCAAATGAACAAGCAAACGAGATAGAAGACAGGAGAGTTACAACACGGACACTGAGAGGACGGAGGGGGGAAGGGACACGAGCTCAGTCTGCACAGTGGACCTGTGTGAAAGTCTGCATGTGTACAAGGAGAATACACAATGAAAAGGCTTCACTTGGTTAAAAATGAGATTATCATTTTATTATAACTCAGCAGAATTAGCAAATGAAGATAGACTGATGCCAATAACAGAGATAAGCTTAGCCTTTTATGTTTTATGTTGTAATACTAATATGAGATCTTGGGGATAAACAGGAAAGGAAAGGCTATGGTGTAACAGCAACGTGTTTGTGCATCAGTGTGACAAGGGGTCACCTTTGCTCTGTGTCAACACACATTAGAGTCACTTGAGAAGAGGGATTCTCAATGGAGAACATCCCTCCATAAAATCAAGCTGCAGGCATTCCTGCAGGGCATTTTTTAAAATTAGCAATTGATGTGGGTTAGCTTGTTGGCTCATTGTGGGTGGTGCCACCCTAGGCTCATGTTCCTGTGTTATATATACATACATACATACATACATACATACATATATATATATATATATATATATATATAAGCAAGCTGAGCAAGTGCCTCTCACTCTGCCCTCTGTATCAGTTTCTACTGTGAGTGTTCCCCCCAACTTCCCCGGAGGATGGACTACAAGCTAAGAGATGCAATAAACCCTTAGAAACCCCAACTAAGACAATGTCAACTGCTGAAGTAAAACACGAAAGGAGGATGTCTTCAAAAGCGAGAAGAATCTCCGTGCTCACCTCAGTGCTCACCTCAGTGCTCAGCTCAGTGCTCAGCTCAGTGCTCAGCTCAGTGCTCACCTCAGTGCTCACCTCAGTGCTCACCTCAGTGCTCACCTCAGTGCTCAGCTCAGTGCTCACCTTAGTGCTCATCTCAGTATTCACCTCAGTGCTCACCTCAGCACTCAGCTCAGTGCTCATCTCAGTGCTCTCTTCAGTGCTCATCTCAGTGCTCACCTCAGTGCTCACCTCAGTGCTCACCTTAGTGCTCACCTCAGTGCTCACCTCAGTGTTCACCTCAGTGCTCACCTCAGTGCTCATCACAGTGCTCACCTCAGTGCTCATCTCAGTGCTCCTCATCTCAGTGCTCACTCAGTGCTCAGCTCAGTGCTCAGCTCAGTGCTCAGCTCAGTGCTCACACTGACCTGTTTCTAAGATGCTATTAATGTAATGAATTCCCACAGTCGTTTCTGGTGCCATGGCTTACAAACATTGCAAACAGAAAGCACAGAGTTGGAGTAGTCTGAAGGTTAAACAGCAACCAGGACATATTCCTGCTTTGTTGTTGTTGTTGTTGTTGTTGCATTATGCTTACCGATTTTTCACTCGGGTTTTAGACTCTCGATACCACAGACTGAATTCCATTGAACCAGAAATATCAATAGCTAGACCACCCTGGATCTCCATATTGGCCTTTAGTCCAGATTGCAGCTGAATATCCTAGAAGCAAAAAAACAAAAACAAAAAAACCAGTATAAGCACAAAATTAGTTAACACATCTTTCAGAGACACTCTTGGCTTCCTGATATACAGTCCTCTGCTGGAGACTTTGTAAATCTGTTTGTTCCTGTGCAAGCCCAGGACCTCTCACCTGCTTAGTGTTCTGCCATCAAGCTATATCCCAGTGAAGAAGACTTAGAAGTACAGTATCCTGACCTTGGCCACCAATGAAGGCATTGCTGATTTGTTAAATAAGTCAGTCAAAATAGTGGGGCAATGGAATATCAGTTGAGAAGGCTGTTTTCCTTTAGGAAGGGAGTCAGCACTATCAGAGACAGTTTCAAAATGCAAGCTCTGGTTTAGAAACACTGAGGGCAGGGCCCAGCAATCTGCCTTTACTATGCCTTCATGTGATTCTGACACAACTCAATTTGAGAACCACTGGACCAAGAAGATGAAGGTATTTCCATCAGAAACCTAGCCGTGGCTTTTTTTGGAAACATGAAGATGGGACAAAATGATCTATTCGAGTCCTGAAGCGCTTTGCTAATTGTATGTTGAGGCGGACACAGACAATTGTATCTTCTGGCAAACAAACAAACAAAAGGCAGAATTAAAATTCCCAGAGTAGTGCTCAAGTTCCCGGAACTGCCTAGGTCAAGCTAGAAAGGGAAAGGAAGGCAATTTAATCTGGCTTCAGCACCCTGCTGTTTGACATTTGAAATGACATTCAAACACTGGCCAAGCCAAGCACAAGCCCCACTGTATTTCTCAAAGGCACAGTGACCCTCGTGGACGGTTTTCTTGTTGTCTGAAGCACACCATTTTGTGTTGTTTGCCTGTATTTAGACTTTGGCTCTCACATTTTCCGTGTACATAAAGTGAGGTGATGCTGAAGAGGCTCCATGTAAGACTGAAATCTGATGGTCTGAGGCAGTGCTGGATATAACAGTGATTCCAGAAACACACTTCTGTACCATTTATTCTGGTATTCCCCCAAAGATGGTAAGAGTTCCTGGCAGCTAAGAGCATGACTAAAGACTTTGTGTAGCTGCCATAAGCAGACCCCCCCCCAAAAAAAGCCATGCATCTGCCAGGTACAAATGCCACAACTGCACTTTTTAAAAAAGGATTGTGCTGTTCTCTCTGAATTTGAAACAAACAAAAGAACCAAATATGGTGGGAAACCCCAGAGAACTGGTTTATACTGAAGTGGACTGAGAAAGTTTGACCTTGATATGAAAATGCTTTCATTCTGAAGGTCACTCCTCAGAAGAGCAGGGGGTGCTCAGCGCCAGGGCTGGGACACATGACTCAACATCCCTAAAGATGCTTAAAGTTAGATTTACTCTAGGACAAAAATGTGGTTGCCATTGGATACAGGGGATATGTCAGGCTTCGTAACTAAAGAAAAAAAAAACCTCTCCTGTAAAATGCACAACAGTCATGCCAAATGTGTACTTAAACCTTAGAAAACAGGGGAGACATCAGAAGTCAGCTGCACCCCATGTCCATGTCTGTTGCCAAGTAATTCTTAATATGTCCTGCCTCAGAAATAGTCCTTAATTTTCTTGCATAGTATTTTGTTTTCTTGATCTGAAGCACGCAGCTTTGTTAATGCATTTAGTCCAGTAGGTCCCACTGTCCATACAGTACCTGGATGCCAAAGCATCCAAGCCATGAGACAGAGCATTTCACAGTTATCAGACAAAGGGCCTTGTGTGAGAAGACCTGTTCATTGTGAGGGGTTTGGAGAAAGACTTTGTCTTTCTCAAATGATTCCTTTTCTTCCCCACAGAGGGACCAGGGAAGAAGTCACAATGAATTCTACTGGATCCACTAATGAGGACAAACCAACCTGCCCACACCCACCACCCCGCCTCTGTGGAGGGAACTAAACCATACAGTGCACTGGTTCTAAAGTGGAACTAACAGAGGTTGAGTCCCACTATGCCCAAAGCCTTACACATGATAGGCTGTTTAAACACGTGATAGGTGGTTTAAACATTGAAAGCATCCTTCACTGACAGGAAAATTATGGCTCACTGGCTGCACCTAGAGCCAGGACTGCCCACACCGTGTCTAAGATTGGGGCTTTCAGCCGCTCATCACAGCTGTCACACAGTCACAACTCTTTTGTCTCACAGACTGCAAGTCCTTTCTGAGGGAGATTGCAAAGAAGACAGAGCATAAACTTAAATCCTTAATTGGCCCGGAATCCACATTGATTTAAGGTTTTTGTCAACAGACTTCAGGAAGAAGGTGTCAGAACTTTGTGTTTGTGATTGATGTGATTCCTTTGCTCTTTAACTCTGACCTGAAACTGTTTCTTGTAGAATAGACATCGACATTTGACAGCTCCTCTTCTTGCTTCTGTCTAAGAAAACACATTATTTCCTAGCTAAAGAGGCTCCTCCTTTTCAGACATCTGTCTCTGAAATGTAATCCAATTCTCATGAGATACAGACAGACAGACAGACAGACAGACAGACAGACAGCTGCATGCACACATGCACGCATACACACACACACCCACAGAGAGGGGGGGGGGGGGGGGGAGGGGGGGGGGAGGGGAAGGGGGAAGGAAAGAAAAGAGAGAGAGAGAGAGAGAGAGAGA